GATGAAGGCTTCGCGGAATTGGGCTCAGTTTAAGACGCTGGTCTTCTGGGTTGTCGCGTCGTCGGTGCGGTGCGTCATCGTTTCGACGGGAAATATTTCCTCCGTCTTCAGGGCTCAGGAACAGATAGTAGACATTATAAAAAAATATGGGTATGAAATGTGGATGATGAGAGAAAATTATAAGAAAATAACTCAGTAAAATTGTAAGTTCTCATGACGGTGATTAATAAAATGACTGTCTTCTGTTATATTTTATCGTGTAGTGTGTTAGAAGTTTATCGACGTTTCGCAGCTACTTGCTACTTCCATCATCAGGGCGATAATGGAGCCAGTAAGTGCCTCTGAAACGTCGGTAAACTTGTACCAGACTACTAGTTGCAACATCGCGGCGTACAGTCAACTTCAGAATAATTCAGGCTTATAATCTGAAGTTACAGAAGCTTTTCAATGGAACGAGATTACTAGACAAGGTGCAAAATGAACATAAATATTAAGTACATGATGATATTAGTGATAATGGGAGATTAAATATATGTAAAACAAACATTAAATAATAAAAAGACAGATGAGTGTTTGATAGATCAATAAGGTTGGAATGATATCAGACGAATACAGTGTGAGGTTGAACAAGAAAGCCTGGAGTGTTCAGAACCTGTTCCCGGTACCATGAGCGCTGCAGATTCCCATGTAGCTACATAAGTTATGACCCAAAGCCACGACGCACTTCCCGTATTGCGCGTTGCGGTCACCCTGCCAACAGGGAGCCCGCATGGCGTAGCCCATCGACCGCGTTAAATATGTCAGCAGTGATTATATGTAACTGTCGCATATCTGGGGGAATTCCCTGGACCTAACGACAGATTCACTGGTTGGCACTCCTGCTTCGTATTTGTATGGTCCCAGGTTTGACTCCAAACCCAGATATTTTTGTGGTTTTTCTCAGTCCGTCCAGGTAACTGAATTATACTTGAAATTAGCCAACGACCTCCTCTCTCCGTATCTTCATCTGTTCGTCATTTGCGTTCTGTTATCACTCAGCTTGTATGAAGATATCTGTATACCAACTTAAATATTCCTTGAGTGTCAGGGTGACCAACCTTTACCGTCTAGAACCAGAAATATGACTAGTATTCTATATCTAGAATATGCGTACCTCGTTCCACACCTTATTGGTACTTTCATGCTCTGCAGGTTATCACAGAGACGTAAAGTTTGTTCACTGTGGTTTTGACTACCGCCAAATACGTTTCTGTGAAGACGAGACCGTAGAGTGATCTCTATTATAGTGGAATGTCTGTTTCTACACTGCAGTGTCCAAGGCGAAGATCTTGGGCAACCCCGAGCTCTACATCAAGAGTGGCAGTGACATCAACCTGACGTGCGTTGTTCTGCAGACGCCAGAACCACCTAGCTTCATCTACTGGTACCAGGGAGCCCACGTCATCAACTACTCTCAGCGGGGAGGCATCAGCGTGGTCACCGAGAAGCAAACCCGGACCAGCCGCCTACTAATCTCCCGAGCCCTCCCTCAGGACTCGGGAAACTACACTTGTTCGCCGTCCAGCTCCGACTCGGCCAGTGTCATGGTCCACGTCCTGAACGGTAATGTTATTTATTATTACTAGAGTATTCTTACAGCGACTGGCAGAAGCTTTCCTGTGACTTTTATAGAAATTTTGACTGCGATGTTGGCTTCTAAGTAAACACCGGTGCTCTATTGCCGACAGCAACGATGGTTTGTGTGGAGACAGAAAACCAGGTCTCAAGAAGCCCGGATGATATCGATCTCAGTTTATTCTTAACATCCTCGATCATCGTGAGTGATTCCATGCCGTAAGCTTATTGACAGTAATCCCGAACTGCATTACCGACAGTAGTAGAAAGTTTGACCTGCATTATCGACCACATGTTATTTATAGGACGAAGCATTGCAGCAAAATTTATGCCTTATAAATCCTAATAAGAGGCCGGAACAGGCTTTTTAAATATAGGCCTGTCTATTATATTAAAACAGATTGAGATCTCAAGTTCTCAGGGCGGTGAGTTCGAAGATGGCTGTCTTCTGGGTGTTAGAAGTTTACAGACGTTTCAGAGGTACTTGCTGCCGTCATCTGGACTCATCGCCATGACAATGGAGGCAGTAAGGACCTCTAAAACGTCTGAAGACTTTTAACACACAACACGTCGCGACAACCCAGAAGACAGCCATCTTAAATAATGGTCGCGGATGGATACAAATTGACTTCAAATTGAGTAAACGAGTATCGTGTGGGTGGATACTGAATAAGAGATGTCAACATGAGATAATAATGTTAAGAAAGATGTTAAATGAATAGGCTTTAAGGAGGTGTATTGTAATTTTTACTGTGCTACGAGTATACGAGTATCTCAGGTATTAAATTCATCCATCACCCTCGAAGTAGTTCCCCTGGGAGTGAACACAACGATCCCAGCGCCGCTGCCAAGCCTGGAAGCATCCCTGGAAATCTTTCTTTGTCAGCCTGTCAAGCACCATCTGCGATTCTGCCTGAATCTCTTCTATCGTCTCAAATCTCCTTCCCTTTAGCTGAATTTTCAACTTTGGGAAGAGGAAGAAGTCACACAGAGCTTAGAAAGGAAGTTGGGGTCGGTTCTTGCAAGATCTTTAAACTCCTGACAAACGAGAAGTCGATTCTGCATCATCGACAGAGGTTCGGTCATTTTTAAAACGTGAATGCCACACAAACGTTTGTGCACGACCCATTGCGGACTCCCCAAATGCTTGCTTTGGCATTTCATAGGTTTCCGTAGCCGTTTTGGCGAGTCTTTGGCAAAATTTGATGCACCCGCCATTCCGAAATCGCAGGAGGGTCGGTGTAATGCACTACCAAAACGCCCGTAACTAAGAAACAAATGCTAATTCGATGATGCCGGCTGGCACACTGATTCACTATGAATGTAGGCCGCACCCCCTAGCGGCAGAAGCTCGTACTACATCCGGTTCGCCCTCTATTGACACAGTCTGGAAACTTTCCAATCGCACCTCGTATTATAATTTCGTGTGTTCGTGTTGATGCAGTTGGCAGTTGTAGGAACAGTTTGCCGTGTTTGCCGATAGACAGAAGGAGAGCGAAACATGACGCCAGGGATCTAAAACCAAAACTTTTAATTGTTTGCTTCTCGCCTCGGTCTTCAGTATGAGAAAGTTGGTAGTATCGATGAGTTACAACGCCGCCTAGCACTCTGCACGCTAGAGGACCAAGTTCCAAGTTTGTGAATTCTATACCTAGGCAGGTCGATTACTCCGCGGTAAACCTTTATTGTAGTTCCGCGCACAAAATAGTTCTAGCAGTTCATCCTCGTTGTCTGTGGTTTGCTTGCTTTCAGCTGCAACTTTCTCGAAGCTTCCGCTACGCTGAGTACAAAGTGTGCTGAAGTTTTAAGTTCAGTTTAGTCTGTCGTCTTAATTAACTATTATCCTCAATATTCTTGGCGTTATAATGACGAACTCCGTGGATACGAGTAGACATTTACAATCCAAAATTCATTCAGATCCTCAATAATTTAACCGTCTTTTAAGATAAATCATTAAAGTGTGAACGAGCGCCCGCCAATCACAACTCTTTCAAGATCTGTTTTAATATTATCCTTCCATATGTTCCCGGGTCTTTTCAAATGCTCTGTTCCTTTCAGATTTCCAGACTAATTGTGTATACATTATCTTTCTCACTTTATTCCTTCTTGTTATGAAGACCCTAAAACTATTTGGTGAAGATTACAAATTACGAACCTCCCGATAAATCAGTTTTCTCCAACCTCCTATGACTTTCTGTTAGTCTCTTACGTCATATATTTTATCTAAATACGCAATTAATGTATTCTGAAAGCAGTCGCTATTAAAATGTGTTGATTCGTAGATTTTCGAATTCTGTTGGATAAAATTTACAATCCCATCTTTAAAACTAAGTCTAACACTTTATAAATATGTAAATTAGCGTAATGTGTTAGGATGATAACGTTTTTTTCCAGAACATTTTATGGGTTCAAGTGACGAAGATATAATTTTCATGTTTTACATTTACCCAAATGAGTTCAACGGAGTTTAAATCTGGATTGTACGTCGGAAGTCTCAGTACAGTACGTTCTTTGTCTGCTAAAATCTGATAAATCACATATTACTTGTCCTTTGACTTATTTTATTTGATTAAATCTTACAGTTGAGCTTTCAACACGTCACAAAATGGGATGTTTATTTCCAATAGCCATGTTTTTATTTCGTCCTTCTTTGACCGACGGAAAATCCTTCCTTCCTTCATTGAGTGGTCCGCATACTGTGCACTGTTCAAGGTCAGCGGCCATAATCGATGAATCCACTTCTACCACACGTTAGTACGACGTAGACGTAGGTTTAAAGTAGGTGCTGCTCCCTGGTGGTGTGTGCGAGCAAGTCCCTTCTCGAAAGTGAGCTCCTATTGGCCCAGAAATCCTCCTTGATTATTGACATATTTTTTTTCAAAATATTTGATGAGATCCTGGCCCCACATTCCGTTAGTCTGAAAACGAAATAATTATCTAAATTGAATTAATTTGTTTCAGGTGAGCATCCAGCCGCAATGCAACATGGGAACAGCAGCAGTGGCTCCGCCACACGGTTTCCGTCAGTACTACTATTGTTGATATGTTTCGTATTCCATCACGCCATTACAGTATCAAGATGGCCGTCCTGTATCATTACGAGATGATGTGTGATGATAGAATAAAGTGAAAAATCAGTAACCACGTCTGTAGCACGGTGGAGCCATCTGTTGTGGAATTCAGAAACAGGGCAATGAACTAATATATACATTTATTATACCCCTTCTCTTTCTCGCAGAGCCTTTAAAGACGATTAATAGACGCAATTTCAAGACCACAAGAGACCACAAAAATTAAGCGATGGCTTTAAAACTTTAAATTTATTCCAAGAAACTGTAAAAAGATCAACATATAACCTCAAATCTGCACTGATCTTTAATATCCTTTATCGTTTCCTCATTCTAAAAAAGACTTGTATGTTAAGGTAAGGAAAACTTTAACAAATAAATTGACGATAATTGTAAGTCTGTGCTGATATTTCATCTACAGCGTAAAAATCTTGATTTACTCTGCACTGCTGTTTGAAGAACTGGGGTCACGTACATGGTTAGGTCGTGGGAGTGCCTTACCCCTCGTGCGTATGTGACGTGTAATACGTACTTGCTAGTGGTAATTAAATCTTAATAAGAATTTGACTCGACGATATATGAGAAATATATAAGGAATTGTTTGTCGATTTTATTCGTGAAATTTTAAAGTGTGACTACTTATACAAGAAGTTCACGTATTCTGCGATGGTATTGGTTGGAAAACTGTACGTGGTATGTTACTGTAATTAAAACCAGACGGGTTTATTTAAATACAGATATATTTATGTGACCGAAATCACTTGCGAGATATTTTAACCTTGTTAACGCGAAGATTATGTAAATATGTACAGAAATTAAGAACTAGTGATGGTCATATCTTTTCCTTTACACTTAAAAAAAATATATTTGTAAACAGGATAATTGGTTTCAGAAAATAGGTGTGAGGAAAAAGGATCTTCATTCACAAACGAAATATCACGCATCAATACAGCAGAAGATTAATCTATTAAATTCATTTTAAGAAATGAAACAAGACGTAATTCACCATCTAATAACTACGTATATAGAAACAGCTCACTGAATACGTATTTTAAGAATGTGGTCTAAAATCTTATCAAGATTTTGCGTAACGTGAAAGTCTCAAGATAAATATAATTACCGATGATTAGAAAATATTTTTTTTAATATGTGACTTTGTAAATAATTACGTATAAAACTGTAATATCTGTGGACATAAAACCCATATAGTCTTTTTATGTCAATATAAAATATATTTGAGACTGAAAAAGAATTAAACCAAATGTGGGTAAATATATAAGAGAATGTTACACACATTTAGTTATCAATAAGTATTCGAACGAGTGAATGATCGGAGAATATTATTACGATAGCTTAAGAGTATAATTTTTTTTTCTCACACTTTTGGGTTAAGACTTACGTGTCTCGATGATGGTGTTTCCAGAAGGCTTATGAGCTATAAATGACTGTCGCATATACAGTAGGCCTATTATATTTGTACCATGTTCCATGAAAATGTGTGTTGCCATGACATTTCTACGGCCAGTACGTGTTATAATCGAATCACAACCTCTCTCTCTATATCTCTCTCTCTCCTTTGTAAATATTGTAAGGGACACAGAAAAACAGTAAACTTGTATTTCATTCATGAGTGGTTTACTGTAAAATAGCACGCTAAGGAAATGTATCTTCATTTGCAGTCTCCTTTGACACGTTCAGACACGACGAATTCGTAAATTCCTTGTATAACTTACGTTAAATTTTCGCTGATGGATATTTCTGACGTGATAACACGATTAAGCACGTAGTTCATGTCACAGTGTTTAGATTTCAGTCAGCAGAGAGCGTGAACAACATTACACTAATAAATCTTATTGATATATTGATATTTTAAGGGTGTTAAAATGTATGGTTGCGATATTTGACCATTTGATAAAAATGGTCAGATAGCTAATGAATATATAGAAGTCTGAATGAGTTAAATAAACTGCAGTACAAGGATCCAATTTTGAAATATTCCCTATCTTCTCCTCCTTCGTCAGTCCAAGGTCGTAACTTCAAAAATTGTTTCCTTCATCCAAAACAAGATGCATCTAGTGAAAGTTGTTTATAATTGCATTACGTAAGCATAGAGGTCACCTTAATGAAATAATTTACTTTTATAAAGTTATTTTAAGTTTTGGTCATCTGGGATTTAATATAAACTTTTCGATGTTTTTAACTTGGTTAATAATTTCTGTAGAAACTCAGAGGCTTGACACGTTAAATTATAATTTTTTTTTTCAAAAATTCGACTACACCCTTTCTAGTTTTCTCTAGAATAAGCGACTGTGGTTTTACAGTCAGTTATGTAAATCACGATACCATAAAATCCCTTTAACAACGTTGCCATGGCAACGGGTTTAATAATATACGCGAAACATATCATAAAAGTTACCTTGTTTAATTTTATTTAATAAGACGGTGCAGTCTGTCAATAAAGTCTGCATCCAGAAGTCGAATCTCCGTCTTTGAAAGTTAGTGGGTCAACTGGCGGGCCACATTTAGGAATCCGGTGAGGTTCGCGGCCAGCAAGTTTAAAACTATTGGTCATAGTTGTGTAAATCACATGAACTTCGCCATATCCTGTCCAAATATCAGGGTAAATAACATAAAATATATTTGGTACACTGATCCTTTGGTGTAATGACTTAGAATTTAGAGAAATTTAATAAAAATCGATTAAGTCTTATTGGTCAATTTCTTATTTTTTATTCCAAAAACATGTCGGATACTTCTATTTAATTGTGTCCTTATCGCGACATAACTTATTTTAAACCGCAGTGTTTTTCTCGCGTGTGATCTGAAGCTTTCGCGGCGACGAAGATGGTTCCCGAAACGTCTGTTTCCTCCATTAAATCACCTGACACGGCTGACAGCACTACATTTGCATGATGACAGCCGCTAAACTCCGTGTTAGCAAAATACAAGTTTCAAGGTCACTTCAAAAAATCAAAGAACATTGAAACTGGAACAACTGAACTCACGAGAGACTTCTTAGTCACCTCTAATAGGATCAATGAAGTATTCTTCATTCTTAAAGTAGAAATACTTTAACTTTTTTGCCTTGGTGTTTCATTCATTTAATTAATGACGAAAATATTTTCCTTCATTTTGAATTAATCTTCACCGCGCGAGTAAAAATATCCCTGTATGAATTTACATTTACGTCCAGACCGGCTCTGGGGCCCACCGATCCTCCTATCCGATGGGTACCGGGGGTAAAGCCGGCCGGGGCGTGATGCTGACCACTCACCCCCATCTAGTGACGAGGTGAAGAATTAGTAGGAGCTATATTACCTCTCCCCCCAAACGCCCACATGGCGTATAGTCGGACAGCTATACTTTTACTATAAATTTACGTTCTGTGCTTCATTTGTGATCGATAAAATTGAATATATCTGTTTGACCTTTGACCGAAAAATTAATTAGCTCTTTTTAACAAAATCTACTTTTATTTTAAACAGCTTGGCACGTTATTTAATCTGATTAATTTTACAACTGGCACATTCATTTCTGATCTGCTAGAACACTGCCGTATATATTTTAGGGAATGATTCTGATTTACCGACGTTTCGTCTAAAAAAATGAAACGAGCGTCACCTGATGTTCTTCATAGTCCTCAGAAATTCCATTTGTGTTATCAAAATATCTCCTCTTTACATCAAAAATTTCCTTCCGTCGTTGCGTGTTCTGTACGTCAAATCCATTTCCCTTAATGGAAGGCTATCATCTAGAAAACCCTATTTTCCGCTTCATAATCTTTCTTAACTTCGATGTTGTAAGATGCTCCTCTTTGCCATAAAATTCATAAAATATCAGACGTATCAAATCTTTACAAAACCTCCTTAATGTCTGTAACAACGTTTTATTTTCTATAATTTTCTCAGAACGACAAAAGACCTTATTTTATAACGAAGAACTTAAAGCTACATTACACAGTTTCTTCACTGTCTTACGATTTACATCATTAAGACTGACGACAGCTCAAAACTCGCAGCGTAGAAAATATGGCAACGCCGTACTTTTAACTTGATGATTCGACGTCATGAAGAATGTCTCTAACCTGAAAACAAATGATTTATGAAGCCATATTTAAATTAACTTACCATTGTTTTTGTACATTCAATTCTGCATTAAAATCTGTACGTAAGAATACGTAGCATGTTTGGTATATTTTATTGTCCTAAGTTGAAACAAATTATAAAATGAAAATCAGGATAAAATATGAAGAGAGAAGAAAAATGTTACAAGAATGACGACAGGTAGGAGAATGGAATATGAGAAAAATTAGATTAAAAAATAATATTTTGTAAGAAATTAAGAGAAAGACTCGTTCAAATGATGAAAGTATAATCAAAATTATTATTAGTGTGCTTTTATATTAGTAGATCGATAATAATCGACGATTAAATTTCTCCTTCCGGTATATCGACACTTTATATACGTATCGATAGTAATCGATTGTAATATCTCGTTACTGTTCCTTCCTGTTTGCCGATTACAGAGGATCTGATCGCACAGAACGTGCCTGTAATTAAACGTAGGTTATTTCGGTGTAATGATTTATTTTGTGGATATTAATCGTGATATTTATTGAATATTTTAGACGTGAGTGTCAAACATAAAAATGTGTGGTGTTTCGTGACGTGAATTGAAGAGTTGTTTTGGTGTATCGAACAGCTTGTAAGTAGTAGCCATATTCCAAGCGAGACAGCGAATTAACCTCTTGCCCTGGGTGGTCTAATGACGAAGACAAATGGTAAGTTTTCAATCCTCATTTAATATGTGTAATCGACGTCAGGTAAAATTAAAGTAGCATTATAATAGCGTTATTATATGGGTAGGATACATAGCATGCGTGAATATCCTGAGGAAAGATATAATTTTGGAGAAAATATTTTTATGTAAGAGTCATAGGACAGGGGGAGAATTGTAAACACAAGAATATAGACCATTTGTTAGGGTTACTCATTAAGACTGCCTAATCATAAGACGGACCGCTAACTTGTGTTGGGCAAGGCCTTGGTCTAGGCAACACGGAGTTTTCCTCCGTGGCATCGCAACAATTACTCCATTCACACACAGACGAAGGCAATGGCAAACCACTTCTGGATCATCTGCCAAGAACGTATATGAACAGGTCCCAGTCCGAGAAAAGGATGGAAGGATCCTGTTCATATGGACCTGTCCTCAGACAGAACACTAAATAAATAATCATAAGACACCTCGACTGCATAATTACTGTTAACCGAACTGATTGTTATGAATTTTGTGAGTTAAATAATAATATAGGAATTTTTATCAGCTGGTGGTTCAGGTTTGGTACATTCACATAATTTACCTATAAAACCGTGTACAAGAAGTCTTATACACTTTTAAATGAATACAAACTATTTCAAATACACAAACTTCTCGTACCAGTACGACCAATGTTTACGAGTACAATGCCCAGTTAATTCGTAAGATATTTGCAGGAGATATTTTAACTTTATACCAAGCGAATTTTTATTTGTATTTTCACGCTGGACGACTTAACGAATGCATCAAATCAGAGTTCAGTGTGCAATCTGACTGTTACAGACGAAACTGGTTTGTTTACCTTCGTAGTAATCCCATGTGAAAGGCATAATTGTCCTTCTACGTAAAACCCACCTGTTCCACACGCAGATGAGTGACCCTGATTCATTTCACTCATCATAGTTGAATTTACATATATTATTACACTAATATAAAGTATGTTTCGGTACATATTTCAAATGTCCACAATTTGATTTTAGACTTTTTCAGTAGCTCGGATTATACTTCGTCGAATTACATATTTATTAGTAAATGGTGAATTTAAAAGAATACGAGAGTAATCAATTACAGGCTAACGTATTATATTAACCTAGATTTTGCCTGGAGAAATGCCTGGAAGAATTCCAGGAAATATTTACCCAAATATAGAACACAGGTTAATTATATTTCGTTAAATATTAATTATATTGTAAAGTACTTATCTATCTTGACATAAATTTACAGTATTTTGTACGATGAAGTTTGTGTTTTAAAAATATAATATAGTTCAGTTTTGCCTTTATAAAATTTAAGATACGTAATTAAATTAGAAAGACTGACAATTTTAGTGTTGACATTCTATGTCTAATTCCTAACACATCCTTCTATTAGTATCGGAGGAGCACGGACGGACAGACCCGATTTTCCAATTAACTGCTTACTAAATGCTGAACTTTGTGCAGCGAACGGAATCAGCTGTTTTTATTTTTCCGTGATTTTGCTTTATAAAGCAGAATGGAACTGACGAAGCCTTAAAGCTTTGTATCGACTCCGCACAGTGGGATATAAATTGCTTGTTTTTACGAAGCTGACAGTCGCTTAGAAGGTCGTTATTGTTGGCAGGGTAACCGCAGTCGGGGGGTTTGTGGTATGAAGATGCGAGCGATGTTAAACATACCCCTAGCCCCACCACAACCCGCCAAACGCCAACCCATGTCTGTCACTGAAGAGCATCTATGTGCTGAATCGTATTACATTTTGCATAATAACACAGAGACTGTAGAAAATGGGTGTCACATTTAGACCTCAGGGTAGGAATGTGACACTTTTATATTCCTCTAAAACTTTTGAGAAGAAATTGACATTGTGATGAAATTTTATTTCAACACGCATATAAAATTTTCGTTTGCAAAATCCTAGGGACAGACAGACGTATATTGAATATAATATTAAAAAGGATGCTGTAGAAATTTAGAGTCAAGTAACGAGATTCTGTTGACATGATTATTTATTCCATAAAAGACGGAGAATTTGTCAACTAGTTAAGCGAGTTTAAAACTTCTTATGAGGTACTCCGTACCGTAGATCTGTTTTAATTTTATTTTATAATCGTAGCAAATATAACAATAAAAAATGTACCTGTAATGAATTTCTCTTGCTTTGACGTTAATTACAGCTTTAATTACCT